ACTGCTCTTTTCTTCGTAGGAAGTTCTTTCCTACTTCCTCTGTGCCTGCTGACATTTGTAAATGCACGTCTGCTTTGCATCGCCTGTCGTATCAGCCGTCGCAAAAAAGACCAACATCAAGCTGTGCAAAGTAACCATAAGAGCAGTATCTCCAAAGGCAATGGTTATTCTGGAAGTGGACAGCGGGAAGAAGATCACCGACAGATTGGGAGACGGCATCACCAGAAGGGCTTGAAAGGATTTCTGACGGTATTTCTGTTGACAGGGTCGTTTTATGTGTCTTGCATACCTTTTGCCATCCTGACCGCGCTTTCTGTTGTAAAACCGGATTTACAATTCGTGTACGGCTACGGATGGATGGTGACACTTATGCTTATGATGAGAAATTCTTGGTGGAATGCACCCATTTATCTCTTAACATGCAGGACTTTCCGAAAGAAGGCCTTGGAGATCTTGACTTGTAGAAATTCAAGGAGAATGTCATCGTTCCAAGAAAACGAGCAGACTCATGTATCTTATGTATTTAAGCAGCGGCCTCAAGCATCTTCAATTGAAAGCAACTGATGATGATGGTGAACAGCATTTGTATGACGCCATATATCTGTTTCAAAAAACATTCAAAGGCGCGAGCTCCTCCAATAACATTAGCATTTAAATGTCTGAAGGAAGATGTGAGTTTTGAGTGAAGCTTTGAAGTGATCCAGGTTGTCAATTTCGCGAATAGCTGATGGGAGGGAATTACACAGGCGAGGAGCAATAGAGGAAAATTCCCGGTCTCCACATCCCTTGAGATGAGTAATGGGCACCTGGAGAGTAAGGCCAGATGAGCGAAGTCCAGGGCGAAGATGACGCCGCTCGATTAAAGATGACACATATCCTGGGGTCTGACCATAAATTGCCTTAGATGTGAGCAGCAGGACCTTGAATTCAATTCTGCTCTTGACAGGAAGTCAATATAGCTCAGCCAGGACAGGAGAGATGTGATCATGCTTCCTCAGCCCAGTAAGCAAACGTTCTGCTGCATTCTGTACTGCTTGAAGTCTGCTCAAGGTTGCAGAAGGAAGGCCAGCTAGAAGACTGTTATATAAATCGAGTCTAGAGGAAATGAGTGAATGGACAAGGCTTTCTGCTGCCATCCTCGTAAGCAATGGTCTAATGGATGCAATGTTACGAAGCTGGAAGTAAGCAGTCTGACATACCTGTGAAATATGCCTGTCCATTTTCATGGACTGATCAAAGTAGACCCCAAAGTTACGGGCGCTTACCGAAGGAGAGAAAGACACATTGACAACTTGGAGGTCCATGGAGCTGATCTTGTTCCTCATGTTCGGTGAGGAAATGATAAGATATTCAGTTTCATGAAATTCTTCACCGTCATCTATTGACGGATATCGGCTAGGCACGAGGTCATCCTTGCAGCTATGGCCTTTTCATCAGTTGCCACTCTTGGATCAAATGTCACATCATCTGCGTAGAAGTGAACTTGTTGACCATGTTGACGGGCTACGTTCCCAAGTAACAAGGGTGACCATGTTGTTTCCTGATATTCAAGTGCAGAGTATTGTGTGTTCATGTGCCATCACATAGATTTGAAAGAAGTTTAAAAGCAGGATGACAAGATCTCCGTGATCACTTTTATATTAGAGGCTTTCAAAGGATGGGGCCGGACGTACGCATTCTTGTTTTGTTTGAATACTAGCAATGGCTTGAATTTGTAATTATGATGGAAAATATTAGCAAAATTGTAATCCTTACACAAGATTTCAGGACAATTTGGAGCTTACAATTTTATTTGTATTTTTTTCTTTTAGCTTTTGGGGTCCTCGTTTTGCATGAGAATAGATTGATTTGAAATTCTTCTCTTTATTTCGGTGGAAATAAGATACCTTCAAATCAATGTACGTGTACATGTATCTTTTTTTATAAACAATCTATACAAAATGTGATACTCAAAACAATAAACTGAACTAAAATACGTAAGGATGTTAGGTGTCTTTTTGAGAAACGTGACCCCAAAATGTAGAGTGGACTTTATTTAGTCATTAAACAGCTCGGCAGGTTGTTAGCTTTCGGGCTAATCTTGCATCTCCTACGGTCTGGCAGTTGGCCCAATTTCATCACCAAATTTGTGCGTTGCAAATGACTACAAAGGTCGGACACTTTATATAGATTTAAAGGGGAAGGCCACCTTGATATTAATTTGGTTTTCAAAGAAGCAGAGAAATGAGAGGAACAGGTCAGTGAAAGTTTGAACAAAACCCGATAACAAATATAAAACAAAGTTGTAATGTTGCGATCAATCAAACACAAATTGGCAACTCTGTGACGTATCTTCCGAGCTCCACTCCCAATTGCCCTGTATTAAAGAACTTTTAAAAAATTGTATTTTCCTTTAAGAAATGTTTTAATCATTCATGCACCTTAAATGAAAGTATAGAAAATATGTTTTTACACAACCCCTGTATAAAACTAATCTATTCCATCATCAATTAGTAAGAAAATGAAAATTGATGACATTTTCTGTACAGAGCGAATTGGAGAAGAGCTCGCAAGATACGTCACAGTGTTGCCAATTTATGATCCGCTAATGAGAAGTTTTAATAATTCATAACCTTCCCATTTCGATCGGGAATTGCTCAAACGTTCATTAATTTGTTTCCCTCAATTTTCCGCTCTTGTCATACCCAAATTAATATTAGGTTGGACTTTCCCTTTAGTGTATCATTCGCCCCTATCACAGTTCATTATTCATCTCTACAGAATGAGTCCAAAAAAAAAGTTTACACCTAGACAAATGCAAATTATTTTAGAAATCATCTATGAACAGTTAATTATTATACATCATATGAAAGGGTGTTTTATCCCAAATCATTTGGTATCATTTTTATGTGGTATGTGTTCACGCTTGGATGAACAGGAGGCATTGTTTCCGAGAGTGCCAAAAGTGACTTGCGCCAAAGTTGCTTATGTGATATTTGAATAAAACAATTGGGATTTGGGTATTAATTCGGTCTTTGCAGATCCAAATAACATCCCTAACGAAGTTAATCATGCCACACATATCAGATATCGAATATGAAATATCAACAAACATTTGTGCGTATGTGTATGTGTGTGTTTGACTTCGCTTCGACAAAAAGCATATGCAATGCATTTCATTTGATACATTCAAATCATTCTCTCACTCCGCTTAATCCCAACATAATACATTCTGTAGGTATCACTTTGGCGCTAGTCGATTTTTGCAATCTCGCAAACAATGTATCCTGTTCATCCAAGCGTGAACACATACCACACAGAAATGATACCTAATGATTTGGAATAAAACAGGCTTTCATAAGATGTATAATAATTTACTGTTCGTAGATGAATTTTAAAATAATTAGCAATTTTCTAGGTGTAAACCTTTTATTTTGACTCACACTGTATTATCCAGGTTCTGGTTCGTGTCACCCGTTTTCCTAATTAAGCTGCGGATCAAATTTGGACAAGCCTCGTGTCGTGAAGTTAAAGCTGTCATTAAAGGTATACACCAGTTCTGGTCATGCGATTGCATTGTGAAAGAAAAGGTGTGGAATCGATCAGAAAAGGTGGATCATCTAGCATAATACGTATTGTGTGTAGGCTGCAAGGTTCTGAAATCATCAAAATTATAAGAAATTTGGCCCAGTTTTGGTAAAGTTACAAGCACTGTATATTACGTGATATCTATCCAGGCCGGATCGATAATGATAATTTACAAAATATATCAATTAGTAGGCGGTTTCCCGGCTAAATTTGTATTATCACGTATTAGTCAAATAATATTCTTTCACATAATTGGTAATAAGAGCTTCTATTTAATTTTTTGAGAGGGGGGCGTTTCCAAAACTGGTCTACATCTTAAAGTGAAAAGGTGACAAACAAGACAGTGTCAAAGATGCATTTTTACAATTTTAATCGATGTACTTGAATTGTGTAATTATAAATGACAATATTAGCGAAGTCTTTTTACTTTGGGCGTCTTTCCTATTCCCCCCCCCCCCCCATTTTAAAGGCATAGTAATTTAAATTCATTTGCCACCCTTCATTTGCCCCTCACCATTATTCACATCTAAGTGTATTTTCTTGGGAGGGGGAGGGGGGTGCTCATTAATATATTCATTGCACTTAATCTGCTTTCAATTTGATCGATCATTGAAGTAGATTAATTAGTTTATAATTTACAGGTTCTGTAGATTTTGTACTTAAAGGGAAAGTCCAACCTGATATTAAGTTAGTTTTAATAAGAGCCGTTTGAGCAAAATCGGATTGAAAATAAGAAACTTATGGCTTTTTGAAGGTGCGATCAATCAAACACAAATTGGCAACTCTGTGAAGTTTCTTGCGAGCTACCCTCCAATTTATCCTGTACGAATAACATTTTCAAAATCTATACTTCCCCGTAAGAAAATTTGCAATCAGTCATTCACCCCAAATAATATAATTGTTGGAAACATGTTTTTATACGACCCCTGTATGAAACAAATCTATTCCGTCATCAGTAACTACATTAAGGAAAATGTATTGAACAAATTAATGATACATCACAGTGTTGCCAAGTTGTGTTTCACTGATGATGACTTTAAAGATACTTTCCTATTTTTAATCGGATATTACTAAAAACTTTCACTAATATGCTTGACTGCTAGTTACTTTGGCAGCTCGGTCACCACCAGGGTAACATTATGTGTAAAGCTTCATGTGTGGTGGATACAGGCGCTTTATACATATTCATATTATTAATTATTATTATTATATTATTATTAGTTGTTCATTTCAGTTTTCTGCTCTTATTAAACAAAATTAATACCAAGATGGACTGCCCCTTTAAGGTAGGCGAGTGTGGCCGTTCACTCAACTGAAATACACGACATAATTAGTTGTCATTTCAACTTCGAAAGCCCCCCCCAAATATAACCTGTGCTCTATTGCAGCAATTGGAGGTAGATCGCGATGCTTGTCAGTACAAAATCTAAAAGATGGAAAACACTACGACAATAGATTCTGAAAGCGGCCTTGGGTTTGATAATGGTACAAATATTACAGCCGTCGCAATTTTTATCATCATCGCTATTCTTATCTTCGTGAGCAACATTCTGGTTTTAGTTGTCCTTCATAAAGGACGTTATCTATTTGATGAGGTCATGGTGCTTCTACTTCAGATTCTCGCTTACTCCGATCTCATAGGAGGCATGATTGCATCACTTCTGACAGCTTCTATCCAACTCCTGGAGGTAACTCCTGCTTCTCGTAACATCTGCAGAATGACTCCTATGGTAACAACCTTCATGGTCATGCAGTCGCTTTACATCGTTGGTCTCGTGAATTTCTTTCGCTATCTGTCGATCACTCGTCCGTTGTTTTATCTGAGGAGCATGACAGTTTCTCGTGTACGCGTATCGGCTGTGACCCTTAAGATTTACGTCTTGCTGAACACGTGTGTTCTCCTGCCAGTTCAGGGGTTTCCTTTCAAGGAGTCCTTCGATGGCATGTGTGGTCCAGACCGGTTAGATGTCCTGCATCATAATAGGCCATCCGAAGACGTCTCACATGGGAACATAACTGCTCTGGTCTTCGTAGGAAGTTCTTTCCTGCTGCCTCTGTGCCTGCTGACATTTGTGAATGCACGTTTGCTATGGGTCGCCTGTCGTATCAGCCGTCGCAAGAAAGACCAACATCGAGCTGCTCATGGTAACCTCAAGAGCAGTGTCTCCAATAGCAAGGGTTATTCTGGAAGTGGACACCAGGAAGAAGATCACCGACAGATTCGGAAACGGCATCACCGGAAGGGCCTTAAAGGATTTCTGACGGTGTTTCTGATGACAGGGTCGTTTTATATGTCTTGCATACCTTTTGCCATCCTGACCGCGCTTTCTGTTGTAAAACCGGATTTACAATTCGTGTACGGCTACGGATGGATGGTGGCACTGATGCTCATGATGAGCAATTCTTGGTGGAACGGACCCATTTACCTGCTAACATGCAGGACTTTCCGAAAGAAGGCGTTGGAGATACTGACTTGTAGAAGTTCAAGGAGAGAATCATCGTTCCAAGAAAACGAGCAGACTCATGTACCTCAGTTAGTTAAGCAGCGGCCTCAAGCCTCTTCAATTGAAAGCAAGTAACAAGAGTGACCATGTTGTTTCCTAATGATATTCAAGTGAAAGTAATAGTGTGTTCATGTGCCATCCAATAGATTTGAAAGAAGGTTAGAAGCAGGATGACCAGATGTCCGTGAACAATTTCATGTACTAAGATACCTTCAAATCAATGTACATGCATCTTTCATTAAAAAATCTAACAAAATGTGATACTCGAAGCAATAAACTGGACTAAAATACGTACGGCTGTTTGGTGTCTTTTGGGAGACGTGAACCAAAAATGTAGAGTGGAATTAATTTAGTCAATAAATAGTTTGCCAGGTGCATGGTCAACTTTCAGGCTAATCTTGTATCTCTTAATGGTCTGGCAGTTTGGCCCAATAAATTTGTGCGTTGCAAATGATCAAGGATGGTTACTATACATATATATATATATATATCGATTTAAAGGGGAAGTCCAACCTGATATTAATTTGTTTTTAAAGAAGCAGTGAAATGAGAGGAACAGGCCAGTGAAAGTTTGAACAAAAACCGAAAACAAATAAACGAAAATTTATGAATGGTTGAGGTTTATCAATCAAACACATATTGGTTACTATGTGACGTATCTTTCGAGCTCCCCTCCCAATTGCCCTTCATTAAAGAATTTTCACTTTTTTTTCCTTTAAGAAAATTTCCAATCAGTAGTTTATGCTTCAGTAGTAAGTGGTGGTTATTTTACCTGACTGCTAAGAAAGCATTAATGCTAGTTAGTAAGCAACCAGAGGACCGAAGGCTTTAGGTTCACTCCGAGGGACCTGGTAATGCGGATTAATGCCTTACCGAAGGGCACTATAGCACATCGACTTGGTTTCGAACAGGGGTCACCGGATTATGAGACCACTGTTCTACCAACTGAGCTATCACGCCTCCTCTAATCCAATCATTCATGCGCCCTAAATATAATTATAGCTCATATGTTTTTTATACAACCCCTGTATAAAACTAATCTATTCCATCATCAATATTTTAGAAAATGAAAATTGATGGAATTGCCTGTATATACAGAACAAATTAGAGAGGAACCCGTAAGATACGTCGCAGTGTTACCAATTTGTGATCCGCTATTAAATGACAACTTCAATAATTCAATATTTACCTATTTTCGATTGGAAATTGCTCAAACTTTCGCAAGGATTTTTCCCTCAATTTTCATTGCAATTTGGAGCATAATATTTATTTTGCTGTCTTTTTACTCAAGGGTCCTTCCTATTCCTTCTTTAATTGTAAATGCATTATAGTCATTTAAATTTAGGTGTATTTACTTTGTAAATTTGTCATGATGCTATATATACTATGTAATTCAGCTCTTGAGCTGCAATGATTAAACAAAATAGTTATCGTTTCAAAAATTCATAATTCATTAAATCTATTTATTACCATCATGTTCAAAGTTTAATAGGCTGAACTATTTCATGACAATTGAGTATACATTCGGGGATTGGAGCTTACAAATTAATAGCTAATCCTAGTCAACTTCAAGTTCAAAATCCGATACAATATAATAGTGATTCAGTATTATCGTTGAGGCGCGATAGCTTAATTGTAGCACAGTGGTCTCGTAACCATGAGCTTCTGGGTTCGAGACCAACTCGATTCGCTTGTGGCCTTTGATAGGCATTATTAGTCATTACCCAATCCCCCGGAGAAGATTTAATGCCATCAATTCCTTGGTTGATTACTTACCAGCCAAACACATGTTTTTTTTTGCAGCCAGGTTAAACTTAATCATGAAACCATTCAATTGTAATCCAGTATGTATATCTTAACATTAACATTGAGCTACAAGTAATTATATTTACATGTATGAAGAAGAATAATGTAAATGTATAAATTTTAGATTAAAGTCATGATACTAATCTTGTGTAAATCGGAACAATTAGCAAGACCTGGGGCCGGTTTCATAAAACTTGTTATTTATAACAACTGCTAAATTTCTATGACACATTTGCTCTCAGCCAATCAGATGCCATGACTTCAGTAGCTTATAACAGTAGCTTGTAACTTGTTATTGATATCAAGTTTTATGAAACAGGACCCTGGGTTTTGATTTGTTGCAATGATTTTTATGATATCTGCGCTCGGATATGAGTATTATTCTTATAATTTGTTGTTGTTGTTTTTGCAATAGTATGTTCAATTCTATTAAACACGAGTAAATATTTTATACAAAAATGTATTTGTATACAGTTTGTTCAAAGTAAAATGCTTTTATATTATCAGGCCTTTTTGTTGGATTAATGAAAAAAAAAAAAAAAAAACATAAATGAACTAGTTCGTTCTTACTTGAAAGCAATGTAGGCCTAAACCACGATGACTTGCAAAAGTCAATTTGATCTTGTATTGTAGATTAAGGATACCAAAGAAAAACAACTAAACTGTACATAAACGACTAATGCACACTTAATCGTGAACGAGTTTCTAATTTATCTGCACCAGGCAAGGATGTGCAACTCGCTAATTGGCTGTCTGACACTCCGCAAACTTGTTTTTCCTCTAATTCTCTACTTTTATGAAGAGCGTGATATAAAGAGACAAGTGGGGCTCTGTAATTACGTCAATACAAACTGTTAATGCAGTAATATATTAAGTGTTTACCGTTTTCCTCCAATTATTTACATCTAAGTGCTTTTTTTTTTGGGGGGGGGGGGATAAGATATATATTGCACTTGATCTACTTCAATGATTGGTCAAATTAAAAGCTTTAGATTTTGTAGTTAAAGGGGAGGTCCACCCTGATATTAAGTTGATTTACATAGGAGCAGGTAAAAAGAGAAAAACAGGTCAGTGAAAGTTTGAACAAAGAAAACGATTAAAAATAAGAAAGTTACGAATTTGTTGAAGATACGATCAATCAAAAACAAATTGGCAACTCTGTGATCTAATTTTCAATTTGCCCAGTACGAAATAATTTCCAAAATTCATACTTTGCTTAAGAAAATTTGCAATCATACATTCACCCTAAATAATTATAATTGTTGAAAACATAATTTTATACAACCCCCTGTATGAAACAAAATCTATTCCATCATCAATAACTACAAAAATAAAAGAAATTATTCAAATTTTCTGCACAGAGTGATTTAAAGATACGTCATAGTGTTGCCAAATTGTGTTTCACTGATGACAACTCCAAAAATGTATAACTTTAATATTTATAATCGGATAATACTCAAACTTTCACTAATTTTTTTCTTCAACTTAGGTTTTTTGCTGTTATTAAAAACAAATTAATATCAGGGTGCACTGCCCCTTTAAGGTGGGCGACTACAGCTTTGGCTATCATAAAAGCACCTTAGCACTCAACTGAAATACACGACATATGCATGTGTAACCAGTTGTCATTTTAACTTTGAAAGCCCCCAAAATATGACCAGTGCTTTATCGCAGTGATTGTAAGTGAATCGCGGTGCTTGTCAGTACAAAATCTGGAAAGATGGAAAACATGACGGGAACAGATTTCGAAAGCGACCTTGTGTCTAATAATGGTGACAATATTACAGCCGTCGCAATTTTTATCATTATCGCTTTTCTAATCTTCGTGAGCAACATTCTGGTTCTAGTTGTCCTTCATAAAGGACGCTATTTATTTGATGAGGTCATGGTACTTCTACTTCAGATTCTCGCTTACTCCGATCTCATAGGAGGCATGATTGCGTCACTTCTGACGGCTTCTATCCAACTCCTGGAGGTAACTCCTGCTTCTCGTACCATTTGCAGGGTGACCCCTATGGTAACAAACTTCATGGTTCTGCAGTCGCTTTACATCGTTGGTCTCGTGAATTTCTTTCGTTATCTGTCGATCACGCGTCCGTTGTTTTATCTTAGGAGCATGACAGTTTCTCGTGTACGCGTATCGGCTGTGACCCTTAAGATTTACGTTTTGCTGAACGCGTGTGTCCTCCTACCAGTTCAGGGGTTTCCTTTCAAGGACCTATTCGATGAAATGTGTGGTCCAGATCGGTTAGATGTCCTGCATCATAGGCCATCCGAAGACATCTTACATGGGAAAATGACTGTTCTTGCGTTCACAGGAGTTTCCTTCCTAGTCCCTCTGTGCCTGCTGACATTTGTAAATGCACGTCTGCTATGGATCGCCTGTCGTATCAGCCGTCGCAAGAAAGACCAACATCAAGCTGTGCATAGTAACCTCACGAGCAATATCTCCAATAGCAATGGTTTTTCTGGAAGTGGACAACAAGAAATAGATCATCGACAGATTGTGAGACGGCATCACCGGAAGGGCCTGAAAGGATTTCTGACGGTATTTCTGTTGACAGGGTCGTTTTATGTGTCTTGTATACCTTTTTACATTCTGTCTACACTTCCTCTTTTAGAGCCGGATATACAATTCGTGTACGGTTACGGATGGATGGTGGCCCTTATGCTCATGATTAGCAATTCTTGGTGGAACGGACCCATTTACCTCTTAACATGCAGGACTTTCCGAAAGAAGGCCTTGGAGATTCTGACTTGTAGGAACTCAAGGAGAAGTCAAGAAAACGAGCAGATTCATGTATCTTATTTATTTAATCGGCGGCCTCAAGCCTCTTCAATTAATCTTGAAAGCAAAGAGTGACGTTGTGTTCTCATATTATTAATAATAATCTGGATTTATATCCAGATATCACGCATAATGTGCATCATCTTTTCTCAATGGGAAGATTTTCTATCATATGGTCGCTGTAAGAGCATAGGCAATTATTAACACAATTGCCTTAGTCATCCTACCGGGTCCCCATTCTCTCTTGGGTATTGAGTGGCAAATGTAGATTAATGCCTTTCCAAAGGACATAATCGCCGTGTCGGGGATCGCAACCACGACCTTTGAATTTCAAGTCAAGTGCTTAAACCACTCGACTACGACACTTCTAATGATGCTACTCAAGTGCAAAATAATAGGCCCGAATTCACAAAGGAGGTTTGTAGACAAATCTAGGTTTACATGGCAAATGACGCGTTTTGACGCGTTTCAGACAAAGTTT